GTAAAAAATTTGTGCTTCTTCTCAGTAAGATACTTGAGAAGACATTTAAATAGATATATAGACTTGTCTGACGTTTGTGAAATGCACAAGTATTAGTGCAGAACTCGGGGTAAATTATAAGTATTAGTGCAAGAAAACCTTTGAATTTACCCAAAGTTCTGCACTAATACTTGTGCATTTCACAAACGTCAGAGGCTAAAACCAAACAAGAAGCGCTCACTCCCTCGCATACTCGACTTCGTTTGCTTTTTCTGCTGGAGAGAATCGAGGCAATTGTGTGCGTCGTTCTGCTATGTTATAGCAGAGGCAAATTTTTACTTGTGTAGGTGAAAGCATAGACCGAACACGGAATAAAAAAGATTAAAAAACATTCCATCCTCTGCAAGGTCAACTACTAACATTCGCTGCGATGTTCATGAACAGAGGATGTTAGGAAACGGAACTAACATGCATTGTAATAATGTTTTGGTTTGCGTGTATAATATTGCAAACAGGTATGAACATACTCAGTACAGCTTAAATACTAGTTTTCTAAATTTTGAAACTATGAGATATTATAATAATAATTTGTATATGTAAGATGCAAGAAGAGAAGGTAAAGTTTGTGTATGACACATAAAACCTGTCAATTTTGCTTCCAGAGTGCCACAATTAGCGAGTAGCTTTAAAGAATAGTACTCACTCATGACGATTACTCATTACAGCTAAAATAGCTAATTGTGTCCTAATTTAGCTTCCCGAAAGGGCTTTGCATGTTTTGTTTTTGCAGAAGCTTTTGAGCCGTTTTGGTGTTGTGCCTGATATACTACTGGTGCGTATGTGAGAGCATGCCGAATACACGGATTCGAATCCAGTAAATCACTTTTTAATTTTTTTTATTTATGTTTGGATAGAATGTTGCATAAATATAAGAATTATGATTTATTCGGGCCACTGATCATTTCATATTTACGTACATTAAATTTTGTTACTAATAAAGACTTGTGCGGATGGCTTCATGTGGCTTGAAAGCTCTGTCGGAACTTTATTTGAACTTTATGGAGCTTGAAGGTTCGGTCGGAACTTTATTTGAACTTTATGGAACTTGGAAGTGATTTTAATCTTTGAATGCGGAACTTTTGGTTACTTGGGCGGAAATCGATATCCGACGCCACGGTGGCTTCCAATTTGCGGAAAAGTGTCAAATATCCTAAAATATGGTTATTTTCAGAATGGGGATGAGACGTAGATGCCGAAAATTGATGTCACGCCCATTTTTAAATCCAAGATGGTGGCTTTGGTTCAGAAAAACTGTGAAATACTGTCAAATACCGATCAATGTGGGTTTTTTTGGAATCGGGTTGACATCTAGAAGAAAGAAATCGATGTCTGACGCCATCTTGAAATTCAAGATGGTGGCTTCAGATTTCAAAAGAAGTGTCAAATAGCCTACAAATGGCATCGAATATCGATTTTCAGCATCTACGCGTCGTCCTCGTTCCGAAATACCCAGATCTTAGGGTATTTGACATATTGGATTCCAAAATGGCATCGGATATCGATTTCCGGTATTCACACGTTGTCCCCATTCCGAAAATACCCATATTGTAGAGTATTTGACACTTTCTGAACCCTGATGGCCGCCATATTGGATTCCAAAGTGGTATCTGATATCGATTTTTGGCATCTACGCGTTGTCCCTGTTCCGAAAATAACTATATTGACACTTTTTCTGAAACCCTTAGCCGCCATATTGGAGTCCAACTTAGCATCGGATATCCTTTTTCGGCACACTGAACCAATTTGACATATTCCTGTTATGTGGAAGTCTAATAATTTTGCGCTATAAGATAATCCATTGAAAATGATATGATTGAAAATGTGTCAGGTAAATTCTATATGAATATCTGATACATTGACAATGCTGATAATTTGAAAACTTTTATATGATCGCCATATGATAAATGAAAATCGGTCAAATTATAATAATTAACTGAAATGGATTTGATACCCATAAGCATAAGCATTACTTTTCACCACAATATAATATATGTGTCATAAATCAATCGAAGTAAAGTTTATGTGAAAATCACATGAAATTTACTTATTCTTTTGACACATATATTTAATCGATTTCTAAAAATAAATCGAAAAATAAACACCAGGCAGTGGGAGCTTTCACAGTTGTGTTTTTTTTTATTGTAGCTGATTTGGGATTCGATCCAGAACTGTTGAGCTGTGATGCTTTTCGTGTCTGCGCTCGATTCCATTGGGCCACGGCTGACTTCAATATTGAACTCGTTCAATTAGCATGAAGTAATAACAGCTCTCCCAACATGGAATATAGAGCAACGTTATGCTCGTTTTGCTAGAGTGAAGAAAAATAGCACTGACCAATATATGCTCCGTTTCAGTGGTGTCGTGTATTCAAATCATTATTAATGCTCCTGTGTGCAATAAAACAACGACTACATTATATGAGTTCATGGAACTGGTTCATGAAGTTCGAGTACTAGTGCTGGAATCTGAATTAGCCGTGTAGAAGGCTTACAATTAGAATCTTAGCAAATAAATATTGCAGTAGAATCATTTTTTTTTTTCAATCTCAAAACATTCTTTTCCGGAACCGCTTATCTTATGAAACAATAACAAACAATGATTATTTATTACAGTATCATTGTTGTTAGCAATATTTAGTTCGACTAATCATTCTAATGAGTGTACGATAACATAGTTGAAAATTGTTTCAATAATTTATAAAGAACAATTATGTAAGATGTATTTTATTGGGAGCGATGTTCATCCCAGAAAAACATACCAAAATAAATGTTTGCTGTTGGATTTCTTAAAAGGCAAATCTATATGACTATTTAATGATTGGGATAGATCTTTTTACAATATTCAAACCTCAAAAATCAAAGGAAGCTATTCCAATGAGATATACCCGTTTTCCTATACTGCAAAGTTAAATGACAGTCCAAAAGTTTCTACATGTCTGTTTACACGCGACATATCAACAAACGTCAAAAATCGTTAAAAGCAACTCCAATAAAATATACATGATTATCTTATATGATATATCTTTTAGTGAGCAATATTCATCATGAAAACAGGTACATTTTACTCGATTTGCTTAAAGTGCAAACTTATATGATTTTCCATTAGTTTCTAGATGCCTGTTCCCACCCATGACATATCAACAGTTTTTCACCATGAAATATATCAGACAATATTCATATACATCTTACCTATCGCTAACCACGTTCGAAGCAAAGTATTATCAAATACTAAGTATGTGAAATTACGATAGAAATCATTCCATATCGCAGTCATAGTTTTTAAGTGATAATCCATTGGAATCTATCAATCAGCACATAGAATGAATAAATCTCCTGACATTGCTATGTTATAAGATGGATCCAATAAACGGTACATGTCGATTTGTTTCAGTGCAGTCACGCGTTGTCTCCGTTTCGAAAATACCCATATCATAGGGTATTTGACACGTTTTATGAAACTTGATGACCACCATCTTGGATTCCAAAATGGCATCAAATATCTATTATCGGCCGTTCCGAAAATACCCATATTGTAAGATAGTTGACGCTTTCTGAATCCTAATGGCCGCCATATTGGATTCCAACATAGCGTCGGATATCGATTTTTGGCATCTACGCGTTGTTCCCGTTCCGAAAATAACCATATCTTAGGGTATTTGACACTTCATAAAACCAATGGCCACTACTTTGAATTCCAAAGTCGCTTCGGATATCGATTTTCAGCATCTACGCGGCATCTCCGTTCCGAAAATACCATATTGTAGGGTATTTGACACTATTTCTGAAGTCCGATGGCCACCATTTTGGATTGCAAAATAACGTCTAATATCGATTTTCGACACCTTCGCGTCGATGGCTGCCATCTTGGAGTCCATAATGGCCTCGTTAATTTAATGTTCGTTTAATATAAAATAATATAGTATTACTACATATAATCCGGATGCCATTCCTATCGGCAACCGATATTGTGCGGATACTATTCGGGTAGTATATTTTGATGCCTGCGTCGTCAAGTCGTGACAAGTCGAATGAGCCCCGAATTGAAGTGAAAGTGGAAAAAAACGAAGGAAGCAGCTTTCGAGTCGTTCATTACGTCAATTGAAACAAGTCTTTGCTTCAAATGAAATGAACTGAAGCACTTGTCGAACGAAACAAGTGATAATCCAGTCATGTTTGAAAAGAGGAATAATTACAGCTGATCTGGCAATCACGGAGTTGCATCCTCGAGCAGTCAATTATGCTCATGCTGCTAATATAATTTGCAATGTAAAATCGATAAAATATTGCAACCATTCCAGATTGCAAAATCCTTTTCGTCCCATGGAGATAAATGACCCTATGTTTCGAAGTACATGTTTGAAGTACCATGCGTCCGCATGATTCCATCTAAGTAGTTTCCAAATGTATGTAACCAACCAACGGTGTAAATCAGTTTATTTGCTTCCGAAACTGGTTCTCCGAGACCAATTCCTTCTAAGAAATCAGCATTGTAAAAGTGTAGTTTATTCCTTCACATTTAAATTGCAGCTCCCGATATCGCAACCAATTGAAAAGTAAAAAGTAAAATCAAAATTAAAATTGAAAATTACATGATTTTTGTAGAATTAGATCTCTAGCAAAGGGCAACCCTAACTCGATCTCACACCTGTCCCATCAAGTCTGATCGTTAAGCCGGTGTAGATTTCTGCAAAGCAAAAAAGAAGATCATCTCCTAGTACACTACTCTGCATCTGTAATGGTACGACCATAGTCCGACCGACAGAGTAGCAACGACGGGAAGCACCCACTTCCCATCCCCAAATCCGCACTTCAAGAGCCAGTGAGCATCCACAATTTTCCCTGTAGGAAAAAAAATATCGAAATTTTCACGTACCGGTGGTGGTTGTGTGCGTGAATGCGCGCGGTTACCCCTTTGTATCGCGATCCTCCTCCCACTTCTGCCGAAGATAGCCGCGCCTGGTGGGGTTCTCTCGACGCTACCGTACGGAAAATTTATAAAAGGACACGCAAACTTCAAATCATTGCCGATTGTCTCGACCTTTTCAGAACAGGTCAGTTGTTTGGTTTGCCTTACTCCGCTAGGTTGTGCTACTACAATATACTACTAGCGCGTGTGTTTTTATCCCTTCATATGAAAAAATTGAAAACGTGATTCCTACTGGTTTGGCGATCGGAGCACGTGGTGTGGTGGTTCACTGTTATTCCGTTTTGGATCCAGAGTGTTTTGACTATATTGATCTTTTTTTTTTTTTTGGTTTTTCGACGGATCGATCACTGAAAGCGATCAAAACACAGCTGGACGTGTAGAAAACTGTGTGATATCGATATTCGGTGAAGATTGATTGATCGGAAAGGAACAGAGAATTTTCCTTTGGTGAAACCGAAGTGACAGTGAGACAGTTCTAGAACAGAGTGTTGAGTTTGTGACCAAATTTGGATATGGAAGTTAACTGACGGTGCACACATCGGAAGCTGATTGGAAGCCGCCGATCCACTTATTAGCTGCAGTCAGGAGAGCGGATCTTGACGACAGGATAAGCTTTGCTGAGCTGATCCCCTTCCGGTTGCGGAATGATATAAATTTAGAATGCATTTCCCGTTGAATCGTATGTATGGTAAAATGTCACAGCAAGTTCAGTGGAGCAAAGTAACTGTGAAGAAAACGAAAAATGGTCTCGGCTGGGGTTTGTTTTAAAATCAGTTTTAATTGATCTTGCAATTTACGGCTTGTGACCGCGTGCTTGCGGTTTTCTGTGATCGTATCTTTGACATTGGTTCAACCTCAAAATACGTCGTTCGGGCTTTATTCTGGGAACTAATAGTGGCCGGTCTTTTTAATAACCCATCACGGCCCGGCTTTGACTTCTGAACAGGTGCACAGTGCGTAGCGAATGCGGTCTCTTCCTCCAAGGAAAGACCAGTTCACTAAACCTAGACAGTCATAAGTGATCAATCTTCTACGCAACTGTCCTCGATCGTTCAAACGATCTTTTCGAGTGTCCAAGAAAATAATAAGTGTGAAGGCAATCTTCTTCTTGAACGTCCACTCTCTCTCTCTCTCTCTTCTTTCCCGTGAGAAAATGGACATTATGCAACATGATGGCCAACAAAATTTCGCTTTTTGACAGCTACTTCTGCCAGCTGCCCCCTTCCGGTTCCCCTTCAAGGTGGAATCTTACCGAGAGGTCCCCAAACGGAGGGGGCGTTCATACGGCTCCCCCACTCAAAGTCACCCATGGCGAAAACCGTGAAATATGAAAATGCTCGCTCTTTTTATAAAAACACAACGGCCTGAGATAACAACAAGCTTAAAATATTTTCTCACATACGTCCCACCTCCTCCTGCCCCAACAAGCTAAGAACGATTTCGCTAGTAACACATTTCGAGCAACTCTCAAGTCGGTAGCTCTGGTCAAGCGAAAACTATGGTCCATTGCGCGGTACGCTATTTTTAGCCCCCCAGCATCAGCAGCAGGTCCTTTGTCAACTTTTTTCGGCGTTAGGCTGCCCAAAAAGATGGTCTCATTCGCGCACGCTAATAATGCCCTCTCGAGACCGAGAGCGGCCAAGCCAGGCAAATGGAAGGTGTTTGACGATGAAGAAGACGCTTCTCGACGACGACGACGACGACGATGGACGCGACCGACGGTGGTCAAACAGTGCAAAGAATGGCATAATGTGTCCCGGACTATTTTTAGCCATTTATTCACATCGTAAATTCGTTACGCAATGCCGGTGAGAATTTTGCTGCTGCCTGGTCACTACGCCAATATGTGTGTGTGTGTATGTACATGGCAGGGCGATGATGGTCTTTCGGGTGATGATCGTAATTATTCATTGTTTCTTGAAATGGCTGTTTTGAAATCACATGCGGTCATTTGACTCTTGTCGGTAGTCTATACAACCTAGGTTTGATCATTTGAGGAAATTTGATACTTCGAAAAAAATGTTGGCGTTTTTAATTACTTTGGGTAAATGACCCTATCGCCCTCTATTGATTTTCTCTTGTAATTAGATGTTGATAAAAATGTTAATATTCAATTCATACTGTTCAATACTAGTTGGTATGCCAATGTTTGTTTACAGCGGTACCATGTCAAATGGTTCAAAAGCATAGAAGATCAATCGGTAATTCACATATTCCATAATTGGAACACACCATAAATAGTGATGACTGGTACATCAACCCTGTTACTTTTGATTTTCAACCGATAAACATTGTTGCATTATTGGACTTCTCTACTTTGATCGTACAAAGCAGATTAAAACCAAAACGTTATAAAATATTCAGTATCTCCTTCAATAATTTCACTTTCTAAAAATGGAGATAACAATAATGGCAGCAACTACCTCCAGCTGCTGCAAATCATACTTTTAAAGTTTTTTTACAGCGGTACCTTTCAAAATAGTTCAGGATCGAATCCTAACCGTTTATTTTTGGAACGATAAATGTTCTTCTATGTATTTGGGTGAACTCAGTTGGCAAAGGAACAATCAATGATCGATTGATTGTTAAAACGAAACAAATTAGGAGCTTGATTGAACTCATTCAAGTCGAATTTCATGCGATTTTTTGTTTCTAAATCAGGTGCTTCGGATATATCCTTAATTTGAATATTTCACCAAGCCAACAATGTAACTGTAGGCTTTTCAAAACTAGAAACTGGGATTATGAATTATTAGCAATACAATTTATTTAAAAAGCCATTCATGTCAAAGTTCCAGTGATTCCATTTGGCATCCTCCGATTATTTAGAGAAATTTCAATCAGAATGAAAGGGACGTCCAGCAAGTTAATAGGCCATAAGAGATTTTTGGCAGAACCATGGTTCTCGTTGAAAATTTACCCTCAAATTGGTGTTTGGTTTTTTTGCAACGATTCATTACAGAGAAGAACAATTCAATCTACTTCAATTTTAAACTTATTCCAGTGCTTTACAATACTTTAACTTTTGAGAAATACAAGTCCACACCAACTTCTTCTCCAAGCTTACAGCACGAAGGAATATGGGGTGTTCCAGAAGGGCATACAATGTTCCAATGTAATCTGGATCACATCGAGGATCGACATTAACAAAGGTAGTCTTTCGATGATTTAATTTTCATTCGAAGACACGCATTTGTCCGTCCGCCGCTCTCCAGAACTAGGTCAAACACATGCGGTCAGAACCATCGACGTTCAATTTCGGTCGGTCTGAAGTTCATAAAACGTGATTTGATAGCACAGCGTCTGCATCGGGGCCCGAAAAACAAACCACAAGTCCCATGTAAACACATACCGATTGTGTGAGGCTGCATTTTTCATTCATTATAGAGAGTATTGAACAGTAAATTCACAGACACAGGATGAGAAGACGCACGTTGCTCGATGTAGACGCATGATATTGCGTCACGAATTTTGATGATAGCGTACCGAATTTGCTAAACGAACAACACGCAGCCCGATGATTGGCTTGTGTGGTCCATTAGGAGAGAGCTATTTGATCCAAAATATGCTCTTCAGTTTATATGGCGTACGTGTGTCAGTACGTCTGTGTGTTTATGATCAAGAATCTCCAAATCTCTTCAAAATGAAGCCAATGAAATTTTTAACGATTATTCACTTTTCATTTCCCCCAGAACAGATTTGCGACGCTGTGGGAAATCTGCTTTTATTGACCTTCCGGTCACTATTCGGTTCCGGAATAATCAATCCAAATACTAAAATGAGAGGCTAGAGCACATTTCCACATGGAAATCATTAGTAGAGGCACCGCCTCGAGCATTTTTCAACATTCAACTACTCGTCTCGGCTGCTGGGGACGATGATGGGGGTTGAAATGCGATAAATAAATTTTCGACGCTAATTATAAATTTTACTTCGCTCATTAAAATATCGTTCGATTTTAGCTGGCAAGGTTTGTTGTGAGCTGGATGCGATGCTTTGTCCAATCGAAAAAGACCGGCGACGAGTGCACTCGTGTATAAAATTTTGCCACTTGTTTCGCCACCCTACTGGTGCAATTGAGCGTAGCAAAAGTGTGTCATGGAGACGCGTGGTCTGACGTGTCTCGTATTGATCGATCTCGAACGGTTTCACTGTGCGATCCCATCTCCGACGAACGGCGATGCACAACCGAAAACAGAATTCCTTCGCGTGATAGTTCAAATATTGCATGACATTTAAACAGTGCCGTTGCCAAAAAATTCACTATAGATCCCGGTTTGATCGTGGTCGCGGTCGCGGCAACCGATCGCGTTGATGCCAGACTGCAGCGAAAAATTTATTTTAAGGTAGCGTTTATCCGATGTAGTTAGATTGCAGCGGGAAGGACGGAGGAAATGGGAGCTATTTTCCCGGCTGTATCGTACTGCCAAAATGCATCTTTCAACACTCGAACACGTGCTGCTATGAGCCATGGCGAGAAAATGGTGTAGTGGGTGAAAATAATGCTCACTCACCCGAGGAAATCGATCAAGGATGAATGCAGTGGCGCGGCGGCAACCCAGAACGGAGTCCCTAACAAAACAGCTAACAGCAAAGGTGGCAACGCAGAAACCGGGTGAAATTTTCTGGAAAAATGATTCGAACGATGGTCGATTTGGCAAGGGACCAGATTTTCTCGGTAGACTGGAGTTGTATTGGAAATGGAGCAGGGCTAATCGAAGCAATAAGTTATACTTGTATGGAAAGTGGATTTTTGGGACTCCCACGGGCCTCATTGCTTGAGCGGATGGATGAGAAAATTGGTAGTAGATCCAGCATTCCGAGGAACTAATTTATGAAGTACATCTAGAGAGCATCCATTTTTCACACATGTGCTAGCAATATAATGGGATTTTTCGAATTCCTATTTTAAAATGCAAACCGTTGTTACAAAACGTAATAACATTTTATTTTAATGATTCGAATTGCTGTGTCAATCAATAATTGATTCAAGCGATTCCTACCGTGCCGCTGTAAACTAATAAAACAATCGTAGCGTGATGGATGCATATTAGAGTCAATGAACATTAAGCAATTTTTGTATGGCGAAAACATGGGTTCACTAGATTCTGCAGCTGATCTGTT